GGGGACCTAGGGAAGGGGTGCAGAGGCTGCTGGGTTAACAGAAAAATCTATTTGGATCCAACTTGAATTATTGAGTGGCTCAAGATTTATTCTTGGCTCTGGGGCAGGCTGTGGTCTGTGAAGATGGACATCATTTCAGCCCTATTTTTAAGGTTCTGTGGGAGGGAGCTGAGACACCACCCACTCAGGGTCCCCACACACCCTTCCACGCTGGGGTGGGGGTGGAGGGGGGCAAGACATGCCCCCCTGAAGCCCCCTCCTCACACCCACGCCCAATGCTTTCTGGGTCTCCTGCAAATGACCCTGGCTGGCAGGTCCCCACCTCAGCCCCTCCACCTGCCTCCATGGACACCTCTCTGCCACCACCCCTCTCCCTGAACTCCCAGCCTGGCCCATGTCTGACCCCTGCACCCCATTCCCCTAAGCCCAGTCCCCTCTGAGAAGCCCTGGCTGTATCTATGCCCGCATCCCCAGGGTGGGCGGGCTCTCAACAAACTGCCGAAACCCTCTGTCTCTTCCCCGCAACTCTGATCTGCGCTCCATGCCTTGGTTGGCCGTTGGAAGGGTTGAGGGGTCCACGGCACCCCCACAGTGCTATGGGTTCTCTTCCTGGAAGCCAGCATTACCCTTGTATCAGAGCCAAAGATATCACAAGAAAACTACAGACCAATAACCCTTAGGAATATCGATCTAAAAGTCCTCAACAAAATACTAGCATATCAAATTCAGCAGCATAGTAAAAGGATTATACATCCATGAGCAAGTGCAATACACCCCAGAAATGCAGAGTGGCCCAAAATACAAAAATCAACCCACATGACACAGCACATTACAGAGTGGAGGAAAACGGTCGTTACGATAGGTGCAGAGGGGGCTGGACACACCCAAGCCCCGTTCGAGATCAAGACAGAGGCTGGGAACAAAAGGGAGCTCCTTCAACCCGAAAAGGGCGTCCGTGAAGAGCCCACAGCCCACACCGTCCTCACTGGGGACTGAGAGCGCTCTTCCTCAAATCAGGAGCAAGACAGGGATGTCTGCGCTCACCACTGGTATTCAACGTCCTACTGGAAGCCCTAAGTGGACAATCAGGTAAGGAAAGGGCAGAAAAGGCATTCGGATTGGAAAGGAAGAAGGAAAAGTAAAGTCTCTATCCGCACACGACATGACCTTACACGGACAGCACCCTGCAGAACGTGTGTGCACATGCGCAAGCGCACACACCCCCCGGGCCAGCAAATTACAGCACAGTCACCGAGCATAAGACACAAAACCCAGTGGTATTTCTGTATGCTAGCCATGAACAATCCAAAAATGAAGTTAATAAAACAATTCCATTTATAATAGCATCAAAAAGAATGAATACTTAGGAATAAGTTTAACCAACGGAAGAGTAAGATGTGTACACTGAAGGGGCGTCTGGGTGGCTCAGTCGGTTAAGCGTCCAACTCTTGATTTGGGCTCAGGTCATGATCTCAGGGTCGTGAGACTGAGCCCCACATGGGGTTCTGTGCTGGGTGTGGAGCCTGCTTGAGATTCTCTCTCCCTCTGCTCCTCCCCATCCCCCTCTCAAAAAAAAAAAAAAAAAAAAAGACCTGTACACTGAAAACCACATGATGATGTGGACAGAAGTTCACGGAGAAGTAAAGGAAAAGGCCCCTGAGCACAGTGCCGGCAAGACTGAGCACCACTAGGGGGCTGTGCTCCCTGAGTCGGTCAGTGCAGTGCCCTGCCAAAGTCCAACTGCCTTTTTGCAGAAATGGACAAGATGGTCCTAAAACTCATACAGAATTGCCAGGGACCCAGAAGAGCCATACGTAAACAGTAGCTGGAAGCAGGTCAGAGATCTAAATGTAAGAGCTGAAACCATAACTCTCTTAGAGGAAATCTCCATGACCCTGGATTAGGCAATGATTTCTGCAATATATGACACCAAACGCACAAGCAACAGATGAGCAACAGATACATTGGATTTCATCAAACTCAACAGCTTTCATGCACAAAGAACACTATCCAGGGAGTGAAAAGACAGCCCACGGAGTCGAGGGAGCCCACGTGTGAGTTACGTAACCGAGAGGGGTCTGGTAAGCAGAGCACAGAGAGAACTCTCACGGCTCCCCAACAACACAACAGCCCCATTTCAAAAAGGGCAAAGGATTTCTGCAGACATTTCGCCCAGAAGGATGGACAAATGGCCAATGATCACACAAAAGATGCTCACCGTCCTCTGTCATTAGGGAAATGCACATCACACCCCCAGGACGGCCAGAATCACGAGTGGCAGAGGGGAAACCCGGGAGCCCCGTGCCTTGCTGGAGAGCATGTGGAAAACAGCAGGAAAGCAGTGTGGCTCTCCCCCAGAAGGTAAACACACAGCCGCCATAGGACCCAGACACTGCCCTCCTCCGGATACACTTGGAAGGATGGACACCCGAGTGCATACAAACACCCGTCCGCCCGTGTGCATGGCCACGCTACTCGTAATAGCCACAGAAAGGAACAGGCCACACACTCAGGCACGGGTGGGTGCCTGCAACATGGGCTCTAGCCGCACAACAGAGTCACACCGGGCAGTACACAGCGGCACCGCTCGGTGCTGCACACGGAGGATCCATGAAAATCCTGGGCTCAAAACATCGGGCTAGAGATGTGAGGGCAGCCGGACCCAAAGGCCACACACCGCGTGACTCTGCATGGACTCCAGTGCCCACGGCTGCCAGGGCAGGGGGAGTGACTGCTCACGGGGAGGGGGGGTTCCCTCTGGGGTGATGAAGCAGCTCGGCAACTAGACAGTGGTGCTGGTGGCACAAGATTCTGAATATACTAAAAACCACTGAATTGTACACTTTTAAGAAATGCTTAAAATGGCAGCTTCTGTGACGTGATTTTAATTTCAAGACAAAAACTTCTCAGGTGAGTTGTCTGCAAACTTCTCTCCAGGCTCTGACCTGCTCTTCACTGAGGGGGATGGGGACCCCACCTGGCCCCTCCAGTGACCAAGGAGCCAGTGGCTTTCAGCTGAGCACCCCTCCCACCCCAGGGGGGAGCTAGGGCCATCTGCTTGCACCCCTTGGAGAGATGGGGCCCCAGGGGTGGCTGGTGCAACCTGGTGCCAAGCCTCCAGGGATCCCAGGGAAGCTCTCCTGTCCGCGGTCTGGACCTGGGAGGCCTGGTCCTGTCTGCCCTGCCCTCTCAGGACTTGGGTTGTGCGGGCCTGGGGGGAGACGGGGACCCCTTTCCTTCCCTGCCCCTCGAGGAGCCCCACCCAGGTCTGCTTGTGCCCAGGGATCCCGTGCCCCTCAAACCTCAGGACAGGTGCTGGGGCGCTGGCTGCCGCTCCCACCCGTTTGTTTACGGGGAACTATGTCCACCACTAAGTGGAAGACTACATGTATTCTCCTACTTAACCCACCCAACCTGGGGTGCTTATAGCCCCGGGGAGAAAGCAGGCTCCGAATGCAAGGTCATACCCTCAGAGCTCCATCAGGTGTTATGTCACGCTTTCCCAAGGGACAGCCTATGTCTCAGTTGCAAAGCAGGGAGAACTGGGCCACCGTGGGCAGAAGTGAGCTGACAGCCACTTTCATGATGCTGGGGTGCAGGGTCTGAAGTCAGAGGCACAGCACCGGGAGCCTGGGAATCCCACGGAGGGCAGCTGGGGCTCCCCGTGCACCCCAGCTCTGATGAGTCCCAGCCCAGGACTGGGAGGAATGGAAGCTGGGGAAGCAGCGGGAGCAGGGCAGGAGGATGGAACCCGGTGTGCTCCTTCCCATGTGCAGGAGTCCCCTCGAAGGCGCCTGTGGAACATGCTGGCACCTGCTCACCCCACCAGGCCATGGAGAAGAGCCCCTAAGCAGCCTGGTGTCGCTCTACAGCCCCGCCTGTCCTGGGGCGATCCTGCTTCCTACTGAGATGTGTCCCAAACAGGGGCCGTTACCATCAAGTGGGGCCGTCCAACTCAGCCTCCCCCCAGCCGCCTGGCCTTGTAAGGGGGTCTCAGGAGCACCGTCAGAGCAGGAGGGGAAGGGGGCCAGCAGACTGCCTCGCCCACTGTCCCCCCTCAGCTCTCCCAGAGGTCTGGGTCCCAGAGAAGAGCTCACTTCTCACAAACGGAAGATGCTGGGGCGGGGAGCACTGGGACCCATGGTCGTCCAAGCCATGACAACCAGCTCTTTGAGAACTAGCATGAATGGCAAGAAAGGCCTCTTAAAATCACACTTCTCAGCAAATGTCAGCGTAGGGAGCCTGGGGGCTGTGGGCGAGGGTCATGGCCCCTGTGAGCTGGGACTTGCAGCCCTCAGTGAGACAAGCGGCTGGGACAGGGACACACTGCGACCCCGCACTGGAGGTTGGGCCTGCGGTAAGGAGGCTGGCAGGGGAGGGTGCCCGGCGGGCAGCAGCGAGGGAAGGCTAACAGCACTCCGGCCCAGAGGGGACGTGCCTCAACTGGCCTCCCAGAGTGGCAGGGCCTGACGCCCCTCCCCTTGGATACCAGCGCCGGTCCTCTGGCACCCGGACCACCCTGTGGGGCCCCCGATCGCCGAGTGTGCCAGCAGCAGGCAGGCTGGCAGACGGGCAGGGCAGCTGGGGACCAGGCCCGGTCACCCCAGCTTGCACCCTCCAGGGTCAGGGCAGAGGCCACTCAGTATGGCTGACTGGCCATGGGTGGAGATGAGGGGGAACTGGTGGTTTAAAAACAAACTCTGGGGGCGCCGGTGTGGCTCAGTCGGTGAAGCAGCTGCCTTCGGCTCAGGTCATGATCCCAGGGTCCTGGGATTGAGTACCGCATGGGGCTCCCTGCTTGGCAGGGGAATCTGCTTCTCCCTCTGCCTCTGCCTGCCGCTCTGCCTACTTGTGCTATCTCTCTGTCACGTAAACAACATCTTAAAATAAATAAATAAATAAATAAATAATACAAATAAAAACAAACTCTGGAAAATAAAAACACAAAAGCAAAAAAAGCAGCAGGGGTGTGTGCTGAAGGAGCAGACGGACGACGAGCAGCCGGGGACAGACACGTAGTCTGGTAGTCTTAAGCCCAACTGGGCACTTTTAGAAAAAAACAAAACACACCAAAAAATCCCCATGAACCTTAAATGTCCTTCCCGTGCTCCTGGGAAAGCAACATCAGGCTCCTTCTAGGGCTGATGCTCTGTGGTGTGAGATCTGTCTCGTGCGGAGCTCTTGACAGCCTTGTGACTGAGACCTCGGAGCAGGAGGGGCCGTCCCCCGGGCCCATCCCAGCGGGGCCAAGCCTGCTGCCGTCCCTGTGGGTGGTGCAGCCGCCGTGCGCTGGGGCCTGGGCGCTCTACCTGCTACTGAGGGGGCCGTGCCCCCAGTCACTACTCCAGGCAGGGGCAGGAAGTTAGGCAGCCTGAGCTCTTTGCCATGTCCAGCTCAGCTCCCCACTGCCGCTGCTGGCCCTGCCGGTGTCTTGGGGCCTCAGCTGTGGCCCTCGGGGGGCCTGCCCTCACCTTCCGGCTCTTCCAAACCTTCCTGAGGGCACATCTTTGGCCTCTGCACCTTCTGGCTCCTGGTAATGACATCAACAAGGGGCAGCATCAAACACAGAGCCAGCCCGAGTCCCCCCTGCTCCCCAGGTGGTGCCTGGAAGCTGCTGCTGATTCAAGAAGGAGCAGATCCTGCTGGTCAAGGGCTGCGTACACTCCAGCTGGCCAGCCCCCACCCCCGGGGGAGCTGTGGGGGGCACCCATTCTCAAAACAGCTTAGCTGGGCCTAGGATGGCCCTCGGCTTAGAAGTAAAAAGAGCTCGAGGAAAAGCCGACAGTAACCTCTCTGGGGCTCATCAATGCCACCCACGCCTGTTCCACAGGTGGACAGTGGGCCACGGTGTCTGTCTCATGGCAAGGTGCTGTCAGGGTTAAATAACCAGCCACAGTCGGCTGTGACCATCCGTGCCGGGCTCTGCCACCAGAACCCACCAGGACAAGAATGACTGTGTCTGGCGCTCAGATACGGAACTGAGGCCCAGAGAGTGTCACAGTCATGGCAGCCGGTGCCCAGGATGAGGACCGGGTCCGTCTGACCCCCATGCCTTCCTGTGGAGCCCACACCCCAGCCCCACGCAGGCAGTGGACAAGGCAGGTGGGGGCAGCCCTCGTGGGCTGCAGGAAGTCCCACTGGCCCGGAGGCAGCCCAGGCCTCACATCCGGCTGCCTCGGCTCTGCCACCCCTCCAGGGACTCTGCGTCCTCCGCCCAGCCCCACAGGGAGGGGGCCCCACCATGATCAGCCCCACGCTGTAGCCACCGCCACTGAGTGCTCCCAGCACTCACCTCTCCTGCCCTGGTGCGGGGGGCCCGGGGACTCCCAGGGTCCTGCGGATGTAGTCTCGAGAGCGAATGTCAGCCTGAGGAGAGGGGGGCTCACGTGAGAGGTGGTGGCCTCTAGACAAGCCCCTACCCCCCAACAGCCTGGCGCAAACACTCTTGCTTCCTGGAGAAAGCCACAGAGGTTAATGCCAGGCTGTCACAGGCCCAGCCTTCGGGGGGGCCTGGAGCTGCAGCCCTGTGGGTGACACAGTGGCAGGTCCCTGAAGGGCCCGAGGGCACAGGCCAAGCGGGAGGCCCTGGGTTGTCCCTGGGACCCAGTGGGGCCACTTGGCTCTCGCTGGCTTCGTGGCCTGTGCTTCCATAGCTTTTGCTTCTGTTCCAGCCCTGTTCTCTGAGGGTCTGCTTCCGCCCGGCTGCTGGCCTGTCTCCCTGGCTCGTGTCGGCTATGACCCCCCTCCCCAGGGAAGTGTCGCCAGAAGGTTCCGTAAAGTCACTGGAATGGACAGGATCCAGGCAGACCTGAGGGAGGGGGGCTCCGGCCAGAGCAGGACCCTGGAGGCATCCCCTAGAGGCCCAGCTCTTCACAGCCCTGAGCCACAGCCACACAACGGGCTGCTGCCGCCACCTGCAGGCCAGCCTGCACACCAGCAGCCGGGGGCGGTGCCAGGGCCCCCGAGGTGGTGGTGGCTGCCAGCAGCAGGGAGGCACAGCCAGGGCGTCACGGGCGTGCTGAGCTGTGCGGACCGGCTCTCAGCATCTGGCTGGGGCCCCTGGGCCCAGTCACCTCGAGCTGACCCAGCGCAGGTCATGGGGAGACAGGGGAAGCCGCAGGTACCAGGGAGGTTCCAGGCACTTTGCCCTCCTGTCCTACAGCAGCACTGAGCCAGCAATCTGGGCCCCAGGGCTGGGCAGTACAAACCAGCACCTGTTGCCTAGACGGGCTCCCCCAGCCCCTCCACACTGCCCACAGAGCCACTGTGACTCACACCCAGGTCCCTGCAAGGAAGCCTTGCTGAGAGCCTTGCGCCACCCTGGCCCTGGCTCTGGCCGCACCTTCCTCTGACTTTCCTGCTGGCACCAGATTCATTCCCGCAACAGGGCCTTTACAGATGTGGGTCCTTGAGCCTGGACTGCCTTTCCCCCTCCTCTGGCTGGTCTCTTCCTGAGGATGGCTTCTCACAGACTTCCCGGGACACACACCTACCTGTGACTGGTGATGCCCTGTCACCACCGAGCCCACCAATGCAGGCCCACAGGCAGCTTGTGCTTAGGTTCTATCTCCTACAGGCTTTTATTTCCTCTGCCAAGCCAACCTGTTCCCCAAAGTTCTGCTCCCAACCCCCTGGGAACGTGGTGACACCGTCACCGATCTAGGTGCTGGGGGCCTGGCCCAGCCACATCCTGCCATCTCCTGACTGATGACTGGTCCAGCACAAGCCTTCCTCAGTACCACCTGCAGCCCTGCAGGGGCCTCCCCAGCAGAGGATGCGGTCTCGCTCCCAAGCCAGCTGGGCAGGTCAGGCACTGAGGGGTTCACCAGGGGTAGGCAGGCCACTCTGCCGCCTGAGGTGACATCAGCTGATGCTCCCGATGACCCCAGTATGGGGTGCAGGAGACTGAAGCTGCGTGCAGGAGCACAGCAGACCCCAGGGCCCAGGCAGGGCAGGGCCCCAGGATCAGCTCTGGTCCCCCTCTCCTCCCTCCAGAGCCCAGCGGGGCCTAACCAGGCCCTTCCACAGATGCTTGTGGTGAGGGAAGAGCAGAAGGCGTATGTGGTCCACCCACCTGGCGCACGGGCTCTGGGATCCGGAACTTGCAGCAGCCTCGAGTGAGGCGTACGGCAGCTTCCAGGCTTATCTTGTGGCCCACAGAGATGTAGAGGGGCTTGCTGCTGTGGTCGTGGCTCTTCAGGGCCTAGAATAAGGAAGGCAAAGTCAGAGTGCAGTAGAGCCAACCCCGGGGGACTCCACGACTAACAACCGGTCGGGGGCAGGCTGTGGAGAGTGCAGCCCAGAGGTCCCCTCAGCATAGCCGAGGGGGGGGTTGCAGGGCACACCCTGGGTCAGTCAGAGGGGCAGGGGAGCGGACAGGGTCTGGAGTGCATGAACACCTGCATGCATGTTTGCGGGTGCCACCCCCAGGGGTGTAGGCCCCTGGCCACTCACCATGCCCAGGACAGTCCCAGAGCCTCCTATTAGAGGAAATGAATCTCCTCCAGCCCGCAGAAGTCGTATCTGGAAAACGGGAAGAAAATACATGGAAAAAGTCTTTTCTCAGCGTAGGGCAGAGAGCAGGCCTGTTAAGTTTTTGAAGTTCGAGTGGCGGCTAGGCAAGGACAGGGAAGGGCCCAGGTCTGCAGCCCTGGCGAAGCCCCGCAGCCTCGGCTATGCGCACAGCCATCCCACGAGCAGACTTGGCATCCGGGAGGCCATCCCCAGCACCGTCCGACCCTGATGAGACCCTTGGAACGCAGTTCTCTCTCCCTTGTTCTGCGGACGAGGAATCCGGGGCCTGGAGGCCCCAGGGCTGATGGGTGAAGGTGCCAGGCTGGCCTGAAGGCCTGGCGCCCACCCACCCAACCTGACCGCCGGACACACAGGTGCTTCCCGCGGGCCGGAACCACTTCCCGCCTCCTGCGAGGAATTTCAGGATGTTTGGTTCAACCCAACAAAATCTTTCTAGGGGCAGGGATTGGTGCACTGAGTCACTCAGGAGCCACCTAAGTTTGGTCCCCAGCTCCACCAACAACTGTTCTGTGCAGACACTGGTCTGCCCCGAAGACTGGCACAAATGTGACCACCGCTCTTGGAGGCTACCATCCAGCAGTAGAGCCAGATGCGCCACCGGGTCCCTCTGGAGCGGGGTGCCACGTTCCCAACGCCAGCCTTGAGGGGGCCAAAGGAGGGAGATGCTGGGAGAAGGTGGGCTGAGGAAGCTCTGAGGCAGGCCGGGCAGCATCAACCTGCAGGCCCTGGACTGGGGCCCCACAGGCTCCCAGATGTCCTGTTCCCAGTCACTGGGGGCCCTTGCCCTAGACGGGCCGCCACAGCAGCCCAGAGGTAGCGGGTACAGGAGCGGCAGGCATGCGCCCAGAGGCTGGGCGCACTCAGACAGCACCCCTCCAGACTGGCCATCTGCTGCCGTGACCCATGACCCACAGGGGACGCAGGGCACGCACAGAGAAAGGTGGGGCTTTCTTACTCTGGGCTAGGGAGTCAGGGCCGTGAGAGCGCCAGCAGGCCAGGGCTGGATCAGAGGTGCCTACGGGGCAGGTCCGTGGGGTTGTTTGAGCCTGCATGCCCCCCACAGGCCCTCTGTGTGCCCTCCCCTTGGGCGGCGTCACCCCCATCCCTCACCCTCCCCTTGGGCGGCCTCGCCCCCATCCCTCACCTTCTCCTTGTGCTGGGCGTTGTTCTCTAGCCCGTCCACCTGTAGAAGTTTCTTGGCTACCCCAATGCAGGGCAAGTCTGTGAGGACGCCGAGGTGGCAGGCCACTCCGAAGCCTACAGGGGCAGAGAGTGAGGCTGGGCTGGTGGGGCAGTGAGCCAAGTAGTCGAGAGGCGGCGTAGAGACAGAGGACAAACCAGAACCTGCTGAGTCTTCCCAGGTAAACAAAGGCCTGTCGGCGGACTGAAGACCGGGAAGACAGGACTGGGAGAGCCAGCCTGAGCCGGGACGTAGCCCCCTGCCCCACTTTCACAGTTGTCAGGCTGGGGTGGAAGATGCCTCCTTCCCCCTGGCAAGGTCCGGAGCCTGATTAGTTCACGATGCTTCACACTGGTTCTCCTCTTTCTGGCAATTTCCATCCTCTTCTCCCCCTTGTAGTTGCCATCAGGCCCGTGTCACCCTCCCAGCACATCCTGGGGCTCCTGCCAGGCAGTGCATATACAGTGGCTGGGGGCCTGGCCCCACGTTGGCACCACGGGTCCCAGGTCCCTCTGCTGCCCCACCCCCAGGCTTGTGTCTGAGGGTGAAACCTCTCCTCTCCCTCGGTCACTCTCTGTGGCCAGTGTCCCGGTGCCCAGGTGGGTGCAAGTTTCCCAGCGTCAGTGGGGAATGGGCACCCCTGTCTGGTTTCCATCGAGGGCCTGTCACTACTCGGGGTGGGACGAGGTGGGACAGGCCAGCTGAGCAGCAGTCAGGACCAACTGGCCGAGGGTGCTTGGGACGGGCCAGCATGGAGTGCTAGGGGAGGCCTCAGGGGCGGGCAGGAAAAGAGGCAGGGTCCTGACAATGAAATCAAGCCCAGGGAAGCATGGCCAGTGCCAGGCCTGCAGCAGAGGGCCTGGGGCAGGGTGCAGGCAGTCCGGAAGGACACTCGTCAGAACTGCCCCCTCCTGCGCCCTGTCTTTTGGGAGCAGGATTACCTCGGTGGTGGAGAACCCCATTTCCATCCACAAGGAGGACCTGGAAGAGCCATAGGTGAAAGTCAGTCAGCCGAACTGCCCCTCGCCCATCAGACCAGGGCATCCCAGATCAAGGGGGGTGGGACTGCCACTTCTGGGGGGCGCGGGCGGCTTTTTAGAAAATCCGATCCCTCTCCTCAAGGTAAAAGTGCATCCTTTCCAGGGAGTTCAGAGCTCTCCCTGTGCGGTGGGTGATGCGGCTGGCAGAGGCCTTCCCTCCTGGGTGGAAACCAAGGGCCCTTCTCCTTGGTCGTGGTACCTGCCTGGGGCACGAGGCGGGGCTCCTTCTCCCGCAGCCGCTGCACTGCGTCCTCCAGGAAGGGCACCTCTCGGAAGGCCAGGAAGCCCGACATGTAGGGCGCCGTCAGGCTAACCATGCAGCAGTCCTCATACACCACCTGTCACCGGGCACCCAGGTCACAGGTGGGTGCGGCCCTTGGCCCTTCATCCTTTAGGCCTCGTGGTGCTGCCAGCTCCCTCCCCATCTCCCAGCATCCGCCCCCCCTCAGCCACACCTCTCTGGGGGAAGAGTGCCCGGTGACAAGGTGACTGCCCTGCAAATGGGTGGCGGGGAATCAGCCTGCTGCCTTTCAAAGGTGCTCACACACTTCCTGCACCAGGCCCTCCTGCTCGGGTCACCTCTGTGCACCCCACACCCGGCTGTCAGCTGTCGGGAGGCTCAGAGAAGACAAAGCACAAGAGCGTGTGTGTCTGAAGTGCCACCAGACTAAGGATGTCGCTGTTCCCCATTAGAAGGAAAGGCCAGGTCTTCACAGGGTTACAACCACAAGAAAGGCAAACCTGGCTCTAAGAAAAGAGATTTCAAAGAATCCAGAAAAGGACAGGTGGGTTCTCAGAGCTAGACAATCTGAAAGAGAAACTGGGTCCCAACGGACAGGAGAGTCTAAAGAGAGACTGTCAGGCCACCAGAGCAAAGAGCCCTGGGGCCTTCCAAACCACACCTTCAAACCCCCCGCCCCCCGAAGCTGGGCTCGAAGTGCTTACGCCCCAGAGAAGGGGCCGCTTTCCCCAAACATGAGGGTGGGGGCTTGTGACTCCAGCATCCTGATCATGGACTCACAGGAAGCTTATCCAACTGCCAATGACCCAAAGTGGGTGGGTCTCATCTGAAGACAGAGCAGACATCGACTCACCGCGAGCCCAGTGCTGGGGCACAGAGCCCCACGAAGCTCAAACGTGGCCTGAGCTCTCACAGGACCATGGCTGCTTACGTCTGAATCTGTCCGCACAAGCTCCAGAAACCAGAGACCCACAAGGAGAGGGCATAAAGCTCCGCGGACACCACGTCCACGGCATGACCCAGGGATGAGCCTATTACGACCATTCATGCGCACCGACGTGGGGAAGTGAACAGCCTGGAACAGCAGAGACAGCTCTAGATCTGGGCTGGGCAAGGACAGGGGGGGACTGGGGTGGGGGGGGGAAGGGCCGGTGCTGGGGAACAGATGGAATGAGACCCATAGGCAATCCTGGCCAGTGGGGACCCGGGGGAAGAGGCACGGGAGGACACGGGACCAGCAGGGGCCTTGCAGGAAGACGCGGCCTCTGGGGAGAAACCGGGGAGCCCTGCAGGGTTGTGGTGAAGAAAATGAGGCCAGAAGCGCGAGGCTCTTCAGAAACAAGAGTGTCAAGAATCGGAAGGCATGCTGGCCATGGTCAACTCAGAAAAGGACACCGCTTACTGGAACAACTACACTTTACCGTCCCTCATGATCAGAGAAACCCAGCCAGCTACCCAAAGCCCCGGCCCTCCAGACACCTGTCTAAGCACAACTCGCCACGCACACTGAAGGCTGTGCAAACTCAGACGGCAATGACCCAACTCATGACTCGTTAAATAAATGCTGCCAACCAGCTGTGCAGCGGTGGAGGAAAATGAACCATTCCTACACGCAGATTGAGAGCACAAGGCAAAAATTAAACACTCAGGACAGACATAAACAAAAACACCGGACAGCCAAAAAAGCCAGAGCGCATGGCCGAAGAAGAAAAACAGGGCGATGGAGCTGAGTGCTTCAACAGAGCACTTAAAGCCTCAATCCAAGAAACGTTCCAGAAAAAAGGGAAATCTGACCCCACACATTCAAAAAGCCAGCTGTCAACTTGGAGAAACGGACCTGGAACAGTCAGCTCAAGAAATACGTGAAAGACAAGGAGTAAAGGAACAGGTATCATAAAGGGTACCCCCACCCAGAGTCCACGTGACCCAAGGGCAGCAGTGGGCGTGCACCACACGTCCACCCTCTACAATCAGGAAGCAAAACCAGCTCAAGAGGCAACTGGGGAAATGTGCCATGGACAGGGATCCAGGTGGTGCTAAGGGAATGTGAAGACTGCTATCAGGTCCACATAGGTCCCTCTCGGGACAGGCCTGCAGAAGTGCTCCCAGGTGAGCTGTCAACACCTGCGGATCCCTCAGCGCACGCACACACGCACGCCCGCACACAGAAAACGAGAATTCGGTTGGCAAGAGCTGGATCTAAGCAGAGAGTAAACGGGTGTTAAATGCGTTATTCTTCCAATGTTTCAATGTTTACACATTTCCAAGTTAAAAATCTGGAAAAAGAAAAAAACCTCAATCGTGTAATGGCTGTGTGAGCACGATCCGGACGGTCAGTAATCTCTGTGAAGATCTGCAGGTTTCAACCTAAGTGGGTGACGTGGCTCCTAAACACTCAGTCTCTTTGGTGCATTTAGACCCACCGAACTTGGGTGGAACTCAGTTCAGTTCTGGCGCCTGACGCAAAGCCGGACCCTGCTAACTGCAGGCATCCCAGAGGGCCAGCAGCAAGGGAAGAAGCTGGAAGTCACACCAGTGAGCCTCTGAGGACAGAGCAGAGCAGAGAGACGGAGAGCACAGAGTGGTCTTCAGATAGTGGGAGGGTGGACATGGAGGAAGGCGGGAAAGGTCTGTTCTGCACTCTGCTGCCTGAGGCCCAATCGACGGGCAGAAGTCACAAACATTTCAGCTCCCTGTAGAAAAGAAAATACTAACCAGGCGTCGGACCACGGAACGGGCTCTGTTGTGAGGCCCCCATTTGTCAGGGATATACTGAGGAAAGGACTCCTGGCTGCATGGAAGGCAGACCAGCGCTTCCCACCCTGGCTCTGCTGCGCGATCACAGGGACGCTTGTTTAAAGAAGATTTCCTGGGAGATTCTTTTTTCTTTCCAGAAATGAGTTGGGGCTCTGGGATAAATATATCTTTTAAAAACTTTATTGAGGTAGAATTTACTACTATAGAGTTCACCTGTTTGAGGTGCATACTTCACTGTTTTCTATTTACAGAGTGGTACAACCATCTGATCCTAGAACATTCTCATGAACCCCCCCACAAACAAATCTCACCTCCCTTTGCAGTCACACCCCATCCATCCTTCTCCGTAGCCCTCAGCAACCAGGCACTTGTTTTCTGTCTCTGGATTTGCCTATGGGATTTGTATACACCTCCAGCAGACTGACTGGGCAGACCTGCGGTCAGGCATCTGGGAGCCTCTGCACCAGACTCTGCCCAAGCCCCATTCCTAGTCTAAGCTCCCACAGCAGAGGGCAATGAACGCCGAGTCCAACCGAGCAGCAGGCACTCTGCTCTGTGCTGGGACTACAAGAGGATCACCCTACCCTTGAGAAGCCCCAGTTAGTGCGTAACTTTATTACAATGGAAAAAGCACTGCGTTGAGAGACACCACAGACGAGGATGAGAGGACGTTAATCCTGCATCAGGGAGAAAGAACAGAGACGGGACTATGTGAACTGGGGCTTGAAAAGTGAGCAACTAGCTAACGTTTATTTTTTTGAGGGCTTACCACGTGCCAACTAATTGGTTTCCACGCATGATCTCATTTACCCTTCACAACTTAGCTGGCTATCAACAGTGTCACTGTCCCCGAGTTATGTCCCCGAGTTAGAAAAAAGGAAGTGAGAGGCCCAGGGGAGTGAAGTGGGAGTGGCAGAGGGGAAGTAAAGACCAGGCTGTCTGGCTCCGGAGGCTGGACCTTATCCCGGAGGCCATCCTACAAACTGACCAGGGGACCTGTGAGGGCAGGGACTCGGGTTCCACTACCACCCTAGATCCCGCTCTCAGCACACAGCAGGCGCTCAGCACATTTTTGCTGAGTTTTGACTAACAGAGTCTTCCAAGTAAAGCACAAAGACACTGAAGCAGGAACACGTGGTCTTTAGGAGCAGGCAGATGAGGGAAAGAAAACCTCTTGAGCTGCAGAGCAAAGGTTTCCTTGTCAAGCTCTTCTTTAGTCAAGGCTTCCTGAACTGTGGACCCCAAACGAATCATGGGCATACTGTTCACTCGTTCACGTCCCTATCTGAGTGTCTTCCATGGGGCAGGCATCAAGCTACGCTCCCACAGCTACAGCTGATGGGCATGGCAACACAGTTCCTATCACTGTGGAGTTTACATCCTGGGGAGGTAGAGACACCCACCAATTCCATCCCAGTGCAGTAAAGGGGAAAGAGAGGGTACTGAGTGTTTCCCGGTCCTGCAGGGAGAGCGGGGTGCTTACTGGGGGACCTGAGAGGTGAGTAGGGGTTAGCCAGGAGAGGAAACATCAGTGCAAAGGTCAGGCAGGCAGAGAGAGCATGGTACGTTCGAGGAATCTGAAGTACCCCGGAGTGGGGAATGGGGGTTGGTGAGGGTTGAACCTACAGCTTGACATTCAGTAGGGTCAGATTCCGAAGGGTCTTTACACTTATTAGCAAGTCCAACCCCACTTTCCATGAGATCACAGAATGGGCACTGAAGTGTTCTAAGTGAACTAGGTGGTAGTGTGACCACATTTACTTTTTAGGAAAATCGCTCTGCTGGTAGCATGGAGAAGAAGCCACAGAGGGCAGTCCTGAAGGCAGAAGACCCAGCAAAGCTTCTACTCCGTTCTCTGCAGGAAGGGGGACAGGGGCACATCCCACCGCTGGGAGGATGCAGACAGGGGGCCAGATTCCTGGCAAAAATGGAGCTAGCGTGGGACAGAATGGAACTGGACGTGTGAATGACGCTCTGGGGAGACAGGGATTTCCAGCTTGGGCAATTCGGGGTGAGCTGCTGCGGGGCCACGGAGATGGGAAGCCCAAGGCGATGATCAACTTGGAGTAAAGACGGGAGTTAATTCAGATTTTAAGTCACAGAATCTCTTTTAGTCCTTACTCCCCTCCTTCCTTCTTCAAAGGCTTCCCAACCTATTCAGGAAATCCTACAAAAGGAGAAGCAGGGTTGTACGGGGGCACAGGCCCCTGTCCCGACGCCCCAGCCAGAGCGGGGCGCCCCCGGGGTTACCTCGAGCTCAGGGTAGCTGAGCACCACCAGGGAGGCACAAGCGCTGACACTGTCGCCCTTCACAAAGGACACGTCCACGCCCCCGACCCTCTGCAGCCCCGAGAAGGCGGCGTCCCGCTGCCACGCCTCCGTGTCCCGGTCCACGACGAGGGCCTTCAGCCGGGCTTGCTCCCTGAGGGCGACACACGTCCAGCGGACCTCCCGACCCCGCACGTCTGGGCGCGGGGTGGGGAGAGGTGGAGGCTCTTCCCTGGGGCACTCCCGGTCTCACCACCCGCCCCG